TTTATCATTTATATTATTAAATTAAAACCACACCCGTAATTAGCACTACTTTGGAAATTTTTAAATGCACACGACAAAATTAACGTAATTATAAAAAGATGCAGTTTGAATGTACAGGTAGACAAACAAAAACTTTAGGTAAGTCGTCTCCAGAGATCATCGTGGGTGGGCTCCCAATTTATGGAAAAAGCAAAAAAAAAAGTTCTTTACCTCTTCGTATCTACGTTGTGTTGGATAATACGTGCTATTTCCGTTCATTTATGGTTTATGGGCTTCAAGGGTTTTATAGTAACTTTATATAACAATTGCAAAAATTTAAGACAGACGAATAACGTAACTTTTTGATTTTACACCAAATATAATAAATTTGTGTATGCAATACAATAATACAATGCGTTTCCCACAAATATAATACTAATTTTTTATATAATTAAATGTATTACTGGCTTCAACAAAAAATGCACTCCATACCTACATTAATTGTTAAAAGTATAACATGCCAGACGACACATGATATGTAGAGAGGAATCCAGAGAAAATGTAAATTGAGCCCAAATATACTGCTTAAAGAAAGAGCGCACCACGTAAAACTTACCGGGTGGGACATTTTTTTAAATATTTACTATCAAACATGCAGGCTAGTTTTTCACATATGCAAGAAGGGGAAAGTCCCAGAGGACTACAAACGTAACGTGGCAATAGCCATACCAAAACAAAAAAAGAGGCGCGGATAAATGCGAGAAATTTAGAACAATTAGCTTAACTTCCCATGCGTCAAAAATGTTAGCCAAAATCGTACAGAAACGAAAAAGACCAATTTGGGTTTAGAGGAACGCGAGAGGCCATTTTAGTTTTACAGATAATAATAGAGAAGTCAGATAATTCATGATGGAAGGAGTAGTAGAAATATAAAACAAAGGATAACGTCGATATGGCTGAGTCGTCTTTAACAAAATGAAGCCATTAATTTAGAAATTTGAAAAAGATTGTTAATGGTGTATGCTTAGTGCACGGCGCTATACGGGTACGAATCGTGACCGTTGGACTTACAGATGTTACAAATGTTGTATTACAGGCGAACCATAAGGATACAGGAATAGATTAAAACTGAGGAGATATTAGAAAAAGGAGAAGCATCTAAATTAGATTACTGTTGACAAATAACTAAGGATGTGGAATGTTCTAATTTTAGGAAAATGCAAGGATTAGCTCAGGGTAGGAAAAAGTGGAGGTGCGTGTCCAACTAGTCTTAGGACTTACAAGCTTATTATGAACATTCTACTTATTTTAAACTGCCGTCACGTAATATAAAACGTACTAAAAGTTCACACTCACCATTGAAAACTGTTTCTCTTCAATCATATGTTTTATTTTGGACAATAAGGCATCTTCTCTGACTCTCGCAGCATCCCTAATTTCTTTTATTACTTCAGCTAACATACCAGGCTCATATTCGCGATCATTGTATTTCATATTTTGTTGTTGTTTTAATATATTTACCTCCATTCTCAACTCGTTTATCTCGCCCGCTAATTTTTGATTGCTATCTTTTAAAAAATCAATTTCTTGCATTAAGTCCTTTACTATACGCTTTTCACACGAATGGGAACTCGAGTCACTATCGCAAGGCAATCCTGGGTCTGAGAATCTTCTTCTATCACGAGAGTTCTCATTTTCATCACCATTTACAACGGGTAAACTCATATATTCGTTTGGTTCATTTTGTAACATATTATTCAAATTTGGGTAATTATACGAATTCATTTTATTTTTCCGCTGAATATAACTAGAGCTCATTGGTTGTATTAAAGGGTATGGAGGAAGAGACATGGGCCCCTCTTGTAAGCAAGAAAAAGGCACTGAGTAAGAGCATGAACCTGGTATATTGAAGTTAGGGATATAGTTTTGCTTATTGCAATTGTTATGCCGACTAAAATTTTTAGATTTACTTTGATTCACTATATTACTACGATTTAAAACCATGTTTTTACTCTTGTCACCGCGATGTATACTCTTATGACTGACAGAACTGCTTGAATTAATTTCAAACGACATAGTATCACTGAGAAACATAAACCTTTTATCTTTCTATTGCTTACTTTTGGAACAAATAAATAACGTATAAATAAAAACACATAAAAGTCAGAAAAGAGCTATTTGAAGTTTGTTAAGAAACATAACCTACAATTCAATATCAACTTAAAATCAACGGGAGTGTCTCCTGTGCGCCGCAACGTACTCCAACTGGAATGTGTTAGTTATTACAAATTTATTTGAATTACNTAAATAAAAACACATAAAAGTCAGAAAAGAGCTATTTGAAGTTTGTTAAGAAACATAACCTACAATTCAATATCAACTTAAAATCAACGGGAGTGTCTCCTGTGCGCCGCAACGTACTCCAACTGGAATGTGTTAGTTATTACAAATTTATTTGAATTACAAACCTGTTTCTTCACAAACTTCTTATGCAATAGGAAGAAAAATGCAACAATTGATAATCATTTTGAGGTATAATCTCTATTATCTATTGTAATGGAGTAGTATAATATTAACTCGCTGAACTGCAAAATTTAATTAATTTCCACTATTAGACTTTGATATCAAAAAAAGGAGAATTAATTGAAAGTAATAATGTTTTTCTTCTTCCTTTCCACAGATTGGCCAACAAATGAGAGACTAGAAAGTTTATTTTGACCATAACAATGACGAAAAGCGATGTCTGCACTGGTATCTTTTCTGAATTTGGTTGCTGTTAACTAATGTACAACTTTGGAACCTTACATTCCGCCAATTACATAAGGTAAGGACACGTAGCATAATCAATATTAAATACACGTTACTTATTTTTTGGCAAATTGGTCTACAAAATACTTCCAAGGCTATCATTTATATACAATAGCCCCAAATTGTCCGTTATATTGTTAATGATTTAGGTAATTGCCAGACTTCAGTTTATCCGGTTTTTAAAACACGTTTGGCGTTTATAGCACCACTACAAACGTACTAAATCTATCATGAAAATACATAGAGAACATTGATTTCAATTATTATATGATTATGATTTATCTATGTTTATGATTCATGTTGTCTCGAAAGTGAAAGTAAACCCACGCCACGTCGCCATTTTAATATTTAGAATTTAATACAAGAGTTACAAAATAATGATACCTAATAAGTACATATACCAACCACCTGACAGTCTAATAATATTTACTGATGTGTCAGTAAAAGTACATGGAACGTATGTAGTAAACATAAAATAATTATACCTATCTACAAGTAATCGAATAACATTGATTTGCACGGTACTATACAGGATGTTTTGAAACAATTAGTATGTACGGTTAATTTCCATTTGGAGAGGATTTTCCAATCAAAAACTGTATCATTTTACTTTCAACAATAAGTAGGCTAAAACACCCTGTAAGTAGATATAATTCATAATTCAAACTTGATGCCCTCAATTGAAAATTTTACTAAAAGAAGGTAAATTCATTCGTCAGTCAACCTGAATTACGACAAAAAAGCAAAGAATGTGCAGAATCAAAGTCAAGATAGGGACAAAAACAACCATCAACGTTTCGCCTTTTGGTGTAGAGGCTATATCAAGGTAGGCTTTTGAGTCAATAATTGCTATTATACATTAAAATATAAAATACAAAACGGTTAAAAATGAACGAGGGGATACCTTCTAAAACATGAAGGGCTAGTTATAGACGTACGAGAAGCACAAACAGGAGTAAAAAGAGGAGGATCTAAATGTGAAGATTTTCAAATCTCTTTGGTCTGACCCTATGATGCTGATGAATAAAACAAATCCTACCTTAATAAAGCCTTAACGCCAAAAAGAAATGAAAACTGACAAAGTTTAAACTATTGTATTTTATCAAGAAAAGATTCGTGAAATTAAATTTACTGCCACAATTATAATAGTTAAATTCATTAAATATTATTATTTTTAAGAAATTAAAAAATCTTAATGATTAAACTACTTATGATGTAAAAGTGTAATAGGCATATATATTGTCTAATTTTTAGTGATTTCCTAATTCACTAAGTTGAAGAGATAAGATGTGGTTATGTATATTACGTATACATAACTAGATAACATTAAATTATGATAAAAAATGAATAAAACGAATATAAAAATATATAAGATCTATATAGGAACCTCAAGTCCTAAACGCATTTTTCAACAAGAATCGAAAGAATAATTTTAATCACAACACAACTGTTTTACGCTTATATCTAATATAACACAGGAATTTAAACAACAGTAGATGTTGTAATTAACATAAAATTTAATGGCATGAGGTACGACAATTGTTTTTTCATAGGTATAAAGTTAGGAAATTGTTATTTGCAGTCTTCAACCTCAGATATGAATGATAGAGAGCTGTTCGTATATCAATTCGTGAAAAATTAATACAAGTGTATGTAACTTAAAACTAGGTCTA